TCGAGTCTGTTACAAAATAGACCTGCATGAATACAAATAACTCTGGGTTGCTTGCTTGCTTTGGTGATGAGTGGTACTGATTACCATCATGGTAAAATGCTGTACAGATTATCACAAAAGAGGCCACAATAGAAAGATGTAGCTCTCTGAAGGGTTCAGTCATGCTGGAGGTTGTGTCCTGACTCCAAATGTAGCCAGCAAGAGCTGAAGGCATTCAGCACTGACCCCTTTGTGATGGAAAAATATAACTCTCCCTTCAAGCCCTGCAGTCACCCACAGGGGCTACTTTGCCCTCCTCTGAACCACAGGACCCAGATTACACTGTTAGAGCCTCTATCCTTTCATTATATACCAGGCAGAAAACTCATCAGCGAAAGCACTCTGAGTAAGTAGAGCAAACTCTCTGAACCTGTCCAGACCAGTTCAAATATCAGACCAGGTTGTTTTGCTCCTGCTGACTTCCTTGTTAGTCCTGGAGGCTCTGGCTGGCACTTACTTGGCAGTAGCTCCTGCTCTTGGATTGGAGGGGGGAGGGGAAAGCCGTTTCTTTAACATGCCAGCAGGGAGATCCAGCAGTGGAGTCAGAACTTTCCCTCCCTCTCTCCCCTCTGACCCGTAATGCATGGTTTCTCTCTCGGTCTTGTCATTCTGCTGCTGCACGTTGGCGCACAACTTCATAAACTCCATGTGTAGTTGGAGTCCCTTTGTCCCAGTCCTTGTGACTGACTCCTCCTCATCATTTTTGTAAGCCAGAAATAACATGTTGGAATTTTTCTGTCTCCTGAAGCAGCTTGTAAGGATGACTTTGTTAGGTGAGAAACCCTGACATTGTTTTATGATCGGTCTGGGAGTAGGAATGGTTTGCAGAATTATCTGCATTTTATTGGAGTTGTAAGTACTTAAGAACACTTAGTATACTTGTTGCCTTCTGTCTTCGGGGCCCTTTACAAACATTGCCTCATTCTCACAGCACTCTGTGTGGCAGGTAAGCTCCACTGTTATTTTCATAGAATTACAGATCTGGAAGGGACCTCAATAGGTCTTCTAGTCCAGTCCCCTGCACTCAAGGGAGGACTAAGTATTATCTAGACCATCTGTGACATATCTTTGTCTAACTTGCTCTTAAAAATCTCTAAGGACAGATTCCACAACCTTCCTAGGCCACTTATTCCAGAGCTTAACTACCCTGGAATATTTATTTCTTTAAACTTTATTAAGTTTTTCCACAGGTGAAGAAGTAGAACAAAGAAAACCAAAGGGACAGTCTGGAAGAAGAAAACATCTGTGACAGTTTGGTCTGCTATTATAAGGTAAATGCCATAATATCAGCCTGTACAGACACTGTCTGCATTTGGGGATACAGATATATCAATGGAAGGCAGTATTGTGTAGTGGTTAAAGCACCAAACTGAGCACAAGACAGAGCTGTGAACAGAACCTAGATCAGGGATTCACAATGCAAACTTGAGAAAATCACATAACCTCTCTGTCTCCATTTCCCTAGCTGTAAAATGGCATACCAATGTACTTCTGTGAAATGCTTCAAGATCCTTGATTGAGAAGTGCCATGGATGTAGCACAGAGGTATCCATCCAATAATCGATGGAACAGCTCCTTTTCAAATAAAGTCTCTAGAAAATAACAGAAGCTCTCAGCTGTAAGAACAGAGCAAATAGATTCAACCCATTCCTAATGAGCAGGCACAGCTTTAATTCTGGAGTTCCCCGCTCTCTGGAGTTCCATGGCATCTCATTAGACTTTGCTCTGTCAAACTGCAGGGCCTAAGTCTGCCCTGGCATCCCAGAAAAACTGGAGATAAAAGGAAAAAAGAAATGTGTACAAGTCAGACAGGTGGAAAAGGCTGTTGTGCTTTCCTTGTAATAAGAACAGGAGTACTTGTGGCACCTTAGAGACTAACAAATTTATTAGAGCATAAGCTTTTGTGGACTACAGCCCACTTCTTCGGATGCAGCTTTTGAGTCCCTCCTAGATTCCCTGATTCGACTGGAAGTTCATAAAGTTTTGAGTGAACTTAGTTGTGTAGGATAAGAAGCACAGCTCATACCCTGATATACAGGAGGGAGGATTGAGAAAATTTGAGTGTTGTTTCCACAGATCTCTCCCCAGCCCTGCAGTTTCTGGATCAGTTTGAGGGTAAGGAGGTGTCTCTGGTGTAGATGGCTATGAAGCTTTAATTTGTCTCATGGATGAGCTAAAATAAATCAATTTGATTTAACAACGGTTTCTCACACTGCAAACAGCTAAGGCTAAATTCTGCCCTTGGATGCCTAGGTGTACTTTCCATCAGCTTCAATCTAGGCAGAATTCAGAGGGCCTGATCCTACAGCCTTAGTCAAAACTTCCACAGACTTCAGTGAAAGTACTGCCAGAAATAAGACCTTGGAATCTGGCCTAGCAAGAGTCTGTCCCCACAGTAAAATATAAAGCATTTAAACAGAGCAGACATTTCAGCTAGTGGGAACCCAGTACTTATGCAGCTTCCTTCACCAATGATGCCAAAGTCCTTTAAAGGTGGGTGAGTACTAATATACCCATTTTACAGGTGGTGAAACAAGCCCCAGGAAGCTTAACTTCACCAAGATCATGTGGAGAACCAGTAGAATATATACACTTGCTGGATGCCCAGTCATCCATTAGCCATTAGACCTTGTAGCCTTCTGGTATAAAAATACTTTTCACTCTCTTAGCAGCTTCCATGTGATGATTCCAAAACATTTTATAAGCACTGATCTTCTCAACATCCCTCTAAGGTAGGAAATCATGATTAACTACCCCTATTTTATAGAAAGTGAAAATGAAGCACAGAGGAGAGAGTGGAGTGCCCAAGGTCACACACAAGCTCTGTGGCACAGCCAGAAATAGAACCTTGTATTCACAGTCTTATGCCTTAACCACAAGCGCATCCTTCCTCCCTAGACCTTTTTAGAGACTTTCTCCCATCCAGAAGGGATGAATATTTTAGCTGATGGTTTTAATTTGTCTAAAACAGGAAACAACAGTCTGTCAATATAGGTACTCATATGGTTACCCTCATCACAGTATCTGAGTGCCTCCTACATATTTAAAAATAGAAATAACTATTTTAAACCTATTGTTTTAAATTGCTACAAAAAGGTTGCATTATTTTGATAGTGTTGGTTCCATTGTAGGCATTCTAACAGTATTTTTCAGGGAGTTTTCACCTCTCATTCTCTGCTGTGAACATTTCTCCAGAAAGCTAGGACCAGAGCCACAGATTCTATATTATGTGGGATTAAATAAAGAAAAGCGGAGAAGCTCTAGGAATTGATGTCCTTGAGGTGAAAGCATAGCCTGTGTGTTAGTGAGTACCACCAGGTTTAGTGACATTGTTTGGGATCTCCTGCTTACTATGGCAAACTCAGAGGAACCCAAATTAGGAAATAAGGGTGTACCTTGGTAGTTACAGGTAAAGAGGGAGCCCTTTATTGGCCATCTCCCCCTGTGTAAATTTCTAAAAGAGAGAAATTCCTCCTCATATCCAGACTAAAAAGAGCAGGATTAGGATCCTTGGGAAAACCAAAGAGGTCATGAATATGGAGGCCAAGGATCCAGATTGGTAGAGGTTGGAAGGAATCACACATTAATATGTAAAATGGGGCCTGTGACCCATCTTGTAGCTGAAAATCGGGAAGCTACACTTGTGAGACAAATTATTTCTTTCTCCCTCTATTAAGCTGTTGGAGAAGGGAAATATTTTTGGTAATAACAAGCAATTATAGCTATAAACACCTTCATTAACTCCAGCAGCTCAGGTTTGTTTCTAATATACTATTATTAATTGCACATGATTAAGCTCAGGATCTTGTCTAAAAGGTGCCAACCTGGGTCTATCTCTCCCACATCGTGCAGACATGTTCTGTCACTGATTTCAAGGCTGTAGGAAGAAGCTGAGACAGGCAAACACATGCACCCCAGTTTCAATAGTATAGATGAACCCTACCAGGTTTCCTGCCAATTGTTATGCAAAAATATTTTTATTTCTACTTTGCAAATACCTTCCCTCAGATACCATAGCGCTGCAGTATAAGAACCTGAATAGAATAACATCCATCTTTCTTCACTCTAGAATCATATTTTTCTTCAAACCCTCACTTCCATGGCACTATTCCTGTGGGACAGCAAGCATGGCCCTTCTGTGGCTATCATCACACTGTTATAGGCTGACCAGATAGCAAGTGTGAAAAATCAGGACAGGGAGTGGGGGGGGTAATAGGAGCCTATATTAAAAAAACCCCCAAATATCGGGACTGTCCCTATAAAATTGGGACATCTGGTCACCCTACACTGTTACCAATCAATCCATTAGACCAGCAAAAAACATCTAATGGCGTTGTTTCATAACATGCATTGTCACACAGGAAATCAAGTTTACCTAACGCCCTCCATGGGTGACTAGTGGCACAGAGGGATTCATTGCTGAAGGTGGTAAGGGGAAAGTTGTGCCATTACACTTGCATTTGAAGAAGTGAGGTTCTTACCCACAAAAGCTTATGCTCCCAATACTTCTACTTAAAGGGGGAGGGATAGCTCAGTGGTTTGAGCATTGGCCTGCTAAACCCAGGCTTGTGAGTTCAATCCTTCAGGGGGCCACTTAGGGACCTGGGGTAAAAATCTGTCTGGGGATTGGTCCTGCTTTGAGCAGGGGGTTGGACTAGATGACCTCCTGAGGTCCCTTCCAACCGTGATATTCTATGAAAGGTGCCACAGGCCCCTCTGTTGCCATTACACTAGTGTCTCTTGCAGACAGATCAAGGAGCAGCTGCATTGCTGGACTCCCAAGAACCCTGTTGGAACATGAATCTAGCATAATATACAAAGTTTGGATGGCAGGGTTGAAACAAAGACTACCTTAAAGGGGGGGCAATTTTTTTCAGGCCCTGCCTCTCTCTCTCCATCTCTGAATGGTGTGTATATTCCTTGGTGTGTCTGTGGGTGTGGGCCTGGGGATTATTATCCCCGAAGAGATTGCAGCAGAGGGTGAGAGTGGTGCCGCAGAGCAGAAGCACACCGCCTCCCCATAGGCAGTAGGCCGAAGGAGTTGAAGAGTTTCCACTACGCCCTGTGTGCACACAACAGACACGGAGGGGTTAAATGCGATTTAACTCCGGCTATAACTGGTTCCTGGGCGCCCCTCGCCGATCCCAGAATCGTGCAAAACCTTCGGAGGTCCGGGGACGTGAAAGCCCCGGTTGCCGGGGTTTGCGCTAGAGCTTCTGTTTCACCGTTTATATTACTGACTCCTCGAAACTCTCAGCGCCAGGGGTCGGGCGCACAGACCCTGGGGTGCCTGCTCCGCCACTCTCTCTGCTGCAGCTGTTTTTCTCTCGCTGCATGTTTAGGACCCAGAGTTAAACGAGAGGAGGAGCCTTCGCTGCAGTGAGCTTGAGCCCAGCCTGTTTACCAAAGGAGAAAATAACAAGACATCTGCCAACTGCAAAGCAGGGGCCGAGGCCAAAGCGGAGCGAGACAGGGAGCAGCGTTCCCAGATTGCTGAGACTTCCACGGCTACTTCTTCAGCCTTTGCTGGTGCCCGGTTGGATCAAGGATGCTGGACGGGGTGCAAGCTTTGCTTCTCAGCGCCGCGCTGCTAACAGCAGCGTCTGCCACCGAAGGTGAGAGCTGAACCCCCCCATATCACACACACGTACCCTGCTCCCAAGAGCTCCCCGAGCTGGGGGGCAGGCGATGGAGCCTGCATTGCCCTGCTATGGGGTCGGGGTGTCTTATTCCGTATGATTTCGGAGAGAGGGACTCCGAGCTCCATCTTTGTTACCAGGAACAAAGGCAAACCTCAGCCTCCTGAAAATCCTTCTGTCTCTGCCAGGGGCTGAGATTGGTAGGGAAGCATCCCCCCCCCTTTTCCCTGTGCCACCCCTTCGGAGCATCCCCCCCTTTC